TCCCCTCATCTCTTAGGTCCTCTCCTGCCCGACAGCAAGAGGCCAGGGGACCCTTTGCTGCTTGTGGAGCCTCCACCGGCTGCCCCTGCTTCAGGGATGGCCGGGTGCGGCTCCACCTACCTAGTTGAAATCCCTAGTTGAAAAGGATCATTAGCATATACTATCTCATTTCTGGGAAATTCGACTGAAAAACACACAAAGACAGAAATAGGTTCTAGAAAAGCTAGACAGCTTACAGAAAGAAAGTTGCAGGTGCGGAGGACCAGAAATACCAAGAATCAAGGTGTACGCTGTAATTATGTAAATCTTTGTTCAAATGAACTCTACATGAAGACTTGAGAGTCACATTCTCTAAAAAAGCTCTAAGCAGGTTCAGCATTTTTTCCTAGCCTCTCAAGTATATTTTATAGCCCAAGTTCAATTGTGTATCACTGTAGTTATATTAGTTTAATGTTATTATGGATGCACTCTGTGAGCTAGTATCGTATTTTGATTACAGAGTAGACATGCTTGAAGTTTAATAATGATCACAGTAAGATTCAACAATTTCTGGACCCAAAACTAATAACAACAAATAAAGAGTAGAAAAATCTATCTTATCTAATAGTGAGATACAGTAAACTACACCCAACAACTGGCATTCTTTAGTATATTCAGTTTTCTGTGAAAGGAGGTGAGAAGTGAGGCACCACATAAAAACATTAAAAATTCATTCATGTTAGTCAGGAATTGACAGAAGTGTCACCAATTTTACGACAAATGCTGCTATTTGGGATATTCAGGACAATGGAAAAGCCGCTGAATCCATGGCTATCCAGTACTAAATAGCCTTTGTAAAGGCCCATCAAAATTCCCACTCCTAAGGCACTTTTCTAAGTAGAAATCTGTTCTTAGTTCATCTGTGGTCAGAAAAGAAGGTGATAGAAAATATCACTGAAATTGACAGATAACATACAAAACCAATGGTACGTCTGCAGTCAGCTTTGATCTTTGCCTCTAGGAAAAGAATGAGAAAGTGATTCAGGGCATTGCTCTAAACATTATTTTAAGAGCTATGAAAGCCTTACTACATGAAATCTTGAAATCAGCCCCAAAAGCCTTTCAAGCAAGACTGTATATCTGCCATAGTCAAAAAAAAGGTAAGCAGGTCAGCATTTAATTCCTGCTAAAACCTGACAGAGATTGAGATCTTTCTCTTCCTGCTTTGCTTAGACAGTTCAGATGTCAGGGATGTTTTCCATGCACTTCTAAGAGATGCTGGCAGGACCAGGAACAGGCTCTGAACATGCCTGGTGGTGATGCTGGCTTTAACAGAGAACTCGCGGAGAAATGAGTCATCCACACCCTGACACAACCAAAAGTCAGACCATTCACTTCCCAAAAGGTGCCTTCAACAAATGGTTGAAAGCCAGTCTAAACGCTCACTTTGCAGCAGAATCTGCAGTGATGTTCACAGGATCAGAAAGCAAGAAAACCTGACTTTCTGATGGTGTGGTTAGGAGGGATATGTGGGACAACAGTAATCCTAAGTCATGGTCTCTGCACCAAATACAGTGAGTGTATGTATCATAACAAGAGTCTGTGGCCTCTCTATCTCAAACTGCTGTATTGTAATAAACAATAGTGAGCCTATTCAATTATTTCAAAGAAGAGGTGCCTGCCAGAAGTCCTGAAGCACACCTTCTGCTTGGCTTTTCTAAGGCATATTTTCCAGGGGTGAATTAGACAGCATTTTTGACTTTTCCGATGTCAAAAAAATGAAACTTTGCAGAAACCAAAGTACACTTGGGCATCACTTTTTTTTTTCTTCCTTTTTTTTTTTTTTTTTTTATTCCAAAGGCTTCATTGTTTCTTTCCTGAGAAGAAAAGAAAAAAAAAGATGTTTGATACTCTTGGACTCACTTGCCTGATTTGGTGGTATATGATGTTATTTCATCCCTTGCATGCTGACATCCAGTGTATAGGGTGTAAGTACATTTTTGCAGATATACTCTGAGAAACAGGGTTTAATTCTTCATTTATCATAAATATGTGAAATTAATCTGGCAATTGTCATCTTAAGCCTGACAGATACTATCTTCTGCATTCAACAAAACCAATATCATATCCTTACTGAATTTATTCTGTAACACTCTCAGCAGAAGCACAAGAATCACCTATTACAAAAGTGAAAATGAATTGGAGAAAAATGGAACTGTCCTGGGAGTTTAGGAATTTCTCCAACTACAAATGTACCATCATGGACAGGGACATGGAAAGTGTACTGAAAGAGGTAAACTTGCTATTTGATGAGATAAATAATTGCACCTTTTTCTTTATCTTTTATTGATTTCACTTACTTTGAAATAAATGAATCAGTTGCAGGTAAAATCTGATCAGTGATTGCTTGTAGTCTACAGCTTGATCTGTCAAGGGCTGTGGAAAGTCATCACCAATGCCAGGGTGCATTTACTGCAGGATGATCATCCTGTGCATACCATGGAATTGAAGTGCTGGCACCAAAGTGGAAAGGAAGCAATAGCCTGAAATGTACCTATGTTGAATCATGAATAGCGAAGCAGCTGCTGAAAAAAGGAGCTGTGAGACTACATGAGACTCCTAGAGAATTTAAAGAGACAGAGCAAGAGATCCTTCAAATAAAAAGCAAATTCCCCAAACACTGCCATGGATTTTCATTATCTCAGGTTCTTCACTTGTTTACCAGTAAATTGGATCACGCCTGTAGCACAGGCTATGATATAAACTCACATTATCCAAAGAGAAAGGTAGAAAGCTTGAGAGAAAGAGCGACAGAGAAGGCTTATTTAGCCTAGCAAAGCAGATGCCTTAATTAGAAATACATATTACAAAAATACATATCACATCTTTATTGAAGATTATAAATATAATGCTATAGATACCTTTCTCACCCCTGGGGAGGTCAGAAGAGGACTTTTATTTTGCTTAATCCTTTGATTAAATTCCCTTGTGGTTCCCCCATTTATTAACAATCTTCTGTGACGCCACTGGGGTACTATTAGCCTTCTCTAATCATCGCACACTAGTGTAGCATCCAACTCCTGAGCTGCAAAGCTTTTTGTGTAGTTACGCTTTTGATCCGTCAGCTCCGTTCTACATCACCCTCAAGTGGTGAAGCAGAGAGTTAGCTCTTAAACCTAAAACACATACATATATATACAAGATTTTGGCCCTACGAGTTGAGTTTCCGAGTTGCACTTCCATAGCCAGCATCATCTAACACCAGCAGAGGGAAAACAGAGAAATAAAACATCAGCATGTTCTTTTTCAGGTGAATAGTCCACTCTGCAGATTCCCAGTGGAACAATACCTGCCTCTGCATAAGGGGGTCTTCTTTACCATTGAAGTGCCAAACACAAACATCTCAAAAAACTGCACCTTTATCCCTGGAGGTAAGGTCTATGGTCTGGGTGAGATTTTCTCCATTTGCAATCTATCAAAGGTAAACAATGCCTTAGAAAACAATTCCTTACACGGTAGGTAACTGCTTTATTTTCTATTAAAATGTTTTTTTGCAGATCTGCTAAAATTATTTGCTCTGTAATTAATATTTCAACAATTCTGCAAGAGATGTGTCACTACAAATGTATCAGTAATTGCATTATTCTTTCATACTAGGGCTCTGAAATGCCACTAAATTAACCGTGGTTTAGGGGTGGATTCAAGGAACTGTTCTGGCTGTTAACAATTTAAGATGTTAGTGCCCATTTCTTTATCAAATGCTTTTCTGCTGGGCTGTTGGCGAGTTTGTCAGGAGGCAGGCCACAGCCTGGGGACCAGTGAAACCCATAAAATGGGAGGAGGAGAGGAAAGGAAACGCCGGCGATAAGCAGCTAAGGGCAAACCGAATGTCGCAACCTCCCCATCCGGCCCCAGCGCGCACGGGCACACAGACCCACACGCACGCGGGTGCCCCCAGCTGCTGGGCACCCACTGAGCTGAGGCGACTGTTTCCAGAGGTGTTCTCAGCCTGCCCGGCACGGGAGTTAATCCGAGTGGGGTTTAGGCAGACCCTTGGTTCATAATTCCAAAACTGAAGTTTTTATGGCCTCTTTCCCCCTTCCTTCTGAACTCAGAGTTCCCCACTAAAACTGCCCCATCTCCAGTGCTCCTCGCAGCTGTGCGTAACTGGGGTGTTTCAGGCTAGACTGAGGTGATGAGGTTAGCAGCTTGCTCATACCTGAGCAGAGGAAGTCCTCCCCGCTCATCCTTTCCTGGGCAATTGGCAAAGGAAGCACTCTCATGGTGACCCTCAAAAGACAAGCCAGGACACACTGCCTCCTACAGCCTCTTGCTTTCGGTGTTCCTCCCCAGCTGACCCTCGCCTCCAAGCACGCAGGTTCCCCCGGGGAATCCCCCCACTTCCACAAGGGTGCCCTCAGGACTGGGCGCTGGAGGGGGCTGGAGGCAGCAGCAGGGGAAGCCTCCACCCTTTCGCTGAAGTTGGCCCGCGCTGCAGAAAAAAAAGGGGAAAACTGGCTGAAGGTGAAGAAGGAAGGAGGCTGAGCATGCCTGCACAGCCCAGCCACGAGGGAGCTTCCAAAGCAGCAAGGTTCACACTTCAGCGTGCTCCAGAAAAGGAAGAGATCAAGCCTCTGTCACTCATGTCAGGGTGGAAAGCTCTAGCTAGGAGGCTATTTGATCAGAGGGTCCCACCTTACTTTTAGAAGTCCCAGCTTTTTAAATGCTGTGTGTAAGCACCTCAGGAGTGGATTCCCGAGCATTAATTTTAAAAGGAAAACTACTTCTCTCTGTAGAACCAACGATGGTGTTAAAAGGCAACGTGTCTTCCTTTACCTGTGTGAATGCTCTACTCACTCCCAGGTTTCACAGTTCAGAGGCAGTCAAAATAGGGTGAGAGTCCAGTTTTTTCTCAGTTGTTGTGCCTAGCCCAAGCAACAATAAAGTGGAGTTGCAGGTGTCTAACATACCTAAGCGTATGCCAAGATCCTTCAGCTTGGAGCCGTCACACAAGTTTTCCCCATCACAGATATTCCTGTGTTTGCAGGCATGGATGGGTCGGCCATTGAAAACTTCTCCTGTGTGCTTTATAACGTTTCCCTCATGAACTGCACTTGGCAGGCAGGCAGGGATGCTCCAGGAGATACACAGTATTTTCTCTACTGGCAGAACTCAAGGTAAGTAGGTCTGCTTGAGTCTAGGGAAGTCTGAATTCTCATTCAACACATCACACTGCCCATATTTAACTAAAATACCTTTCTATATACAGAGATGACGACAAGATGGAATGTGAGCTTTACATTAAAGATGAAAATGGCAGAAACATGGGATGTAGATTCCAAAATGTGAGGATAGGAACTGAAAAAGCTTACTTCCTGGTGAATGGGTCCAGCAAAGACTCCCTGATCCAGTTCTATGATGAGTACATTGAACTGTATGAAATTGGTAAGTGAACATTTTTATTTTATTACTGCTTTATAAAATAAAGAAGTGGGGAATTTTTCTCTGAAGAGAAAAGAAGACTAAAACAAAGTCTGTAGCCATCACAGGATCCTGCACTGGAGGACAGACTTGCTCCTGATAGCTGACAGAATATAGTTCCAAAAATTAACTAAAACAAGCAAAGGCAGAGGCAGCCTGAAATAACTGCTCAGAGAACTGGTGTGAACATATTCATGGAATCTACATGATGAAATACAATGGTTAGACTTTCAAAGCCACCTTTCTGATGGGCTCAGAATTACACATTAATTATACACCTCTCTGAGAGCCACAAGAGCTACTTTAGGACACACAAGAGTGTCCTAAAACCAGAGAGAGGGTTCAACTTGCAAATTAAGAATGCATTACAACATCACAGAATCACTGAATCATTAAGGTTGGAAAAGACCTTTAAGATCATCAAGTCCAACTGTCAACCCAACACCACCATGCCCACTAAACCATGTCCCAAAGTGCCACAATATGTGGGTAGCTACGTGTGATCTAGGTGTTTAAGCTCCAATAGAAATCTGGGACAGGATTCAGTTGACTAAAAACGTGCCTCTAGTGCCATTTGAGCCACCCTCAAACACTTGATGCATCCACATGGCTTGCAGATGTGGCCCAGGACCTCTGAAAGACCAGGGTCCTCCTGGCTGTCCTACACAGTCTGAAATGCACAGAACGAGACTGACTCCTGCCCACAGATGATTCAGGCTGTAAAGCCCAGAGCTGTTCGGACGAGCATGCCTGCTCCACAGTGCGCCAACCAGCTTTGCAGATACCATGAGCACTACTGATGAGGTCTCCGCTGACTTTACACACACACACACAGAATCACACACAGAATCACT